ATGTTCTGTAAGTGTAGCGCGGTTGAAATATTTTCACCCACCTATCAGAGCCGTCGATCGTCGACCAAAAATCGCAGTTATTGTAAATTGTAAGTGTTTTCATATTTTCAACCACTGATTTGATTATCCGTAAGATATTTGCTCGACTGCTTCTATGCATCAATTGTTTTCTTGTAGGCTGGTATTTACATTTTTACTTGGTCTTTCATCTTAATGAAAGCATTTAGAAGAACTGTTGGCTTACATTGTACAAGGGCTGGTCCTTGGGAGGCTGTGTTAAGTGGACTTTGGGTTATGGGTGCTTATTGCCAATTGAATGTTTTTACCTTTTGTATTTCATCTTGCTACCTGTGTAATTGAAATTAACAAGAAATTGCCAATTGAACTTAACAAGATATTGCCAATTTATGTTTTCAGCATACTTCCTGTGCAATTGCCAATTGAACGTTTTTACCTTTTGTATTTCAGCCTGCCAATTTAAATTACCGTGCAATTGGACTTAACAAGAAATTAAGATTACATATATGATATATTTGAAATGAAAAGCTATTTCCTGTGTAATTGTGCTTGATGGTTATCAATTTATGTTGATGATTTTATCAATTTATGTTTATGGAATAGTGAAGTGTTTTGGTTTTTATGCTTTTAGATTTAACAAGGAAGAAGGCCAATCTTCTGCTAAGAAAGGAAGAACCTTATTACTCTAATTCCTACAGTGTCTATTCCTACAATTCCATCTTAACGGCCTTCATCTTCCAATCTTGATTTGTAACCATTTGATTCTATTAAACGGAACGGGACCCATGAAAAAGAAAGCAAATATGTGAACATCCATTTAATGAACGTGATCAAATTAGGTGGACTTATCTAGAGGCGGGACGTTATCGGCCGAAACTTTTGGAGTATCAAGACAAAGAATGTGGAAAGCAGAAATGTCTAATCTATAATAGGTAATATTATATTACGACTTTTTTTTTGGTTAAATATGAATTTTATTTGTACATTAAATTTTTAAATTTTTTTGTCCCCCGAAACGTTAATTCCTGGCTTTGCCCCTGACAAAGGGTCTCCCCTCTAGATTTCAGCTACAGTTGCAGCTCAAATTCACTAAACATCAGGAGCAGCAGCAACCCCTTTGAACTAGTTGGCAGGCTTAACCAACTTTGAGCAACAACAACAATTTGGATGATAAGGAGAGAATCCCCAAATGATTTCCAAGTGAAACTCACTCAGCCATATTTTGATTCCGGTTTTCCATGTTCAACTTACCCAAATGCCTCTAAACCCCTGTTTGTCTATCATTTTTCAAAAAATTGTTTTCTACAGTAATCAATCTTTACCACACATTCAAATAATAAAATATTCTACACATAAACCGATAAAGTTTCTTTCAATTTCAACCACACATTTTCCAAAAAATAATATTCATTACACCATTTTCTTCTCAATAATGGTTGACAAACAGGCACTAAATTGGCTGATTTCATAACAAATTTCTACATGGTATCTACAACTGAAACTTTACAGATAATGTCTTAAATAGAGGGCCCAAAGAGTATAAACTTGAGATTTTCAGTTCAATAGTTGCATGCTAAAAGTTCTGTTTTCAGGGTATATATTTATAGGTAGCTATTCTAAATATAGGTTTTCGAGAGATAATATCAGATTGGATAAAAGCTTCTAAATCAGGAAAAATTACACTTGTTTTAAATTTGGTCACCTCAACTAGTAATATATCAACCATTTTGAAAGTCAGCGATGTTGGCCAATCAGAATAAGTTCATTGTGAGTGCTGGAATTAGTTCAAAAAATGGCGAGAATATTAATAGAAAACATGTGTGAGAGAATAGCTCAAATTAGAAAAACAGCTCCAAGCGAAAGTTTTCTGACCACTTAGACATAGGACTCCTATGATTTTTTTTTCTGGACAAGACCTTATAGGTTCACATACCTTAGGTAGTCGCTGACTTCTGAAATTTATACTCCCCGAATCTGAAATCGACTTTCACATATCTAAGTCATGAAAATGACCCCTGAAATTGGCTTTCTTTCTCAAAACAAGTTTTATGCCCGAAATATAGATGAAGCCTAAAATAATGAAATTAACAAGTTAGCTCCTGCCAAGCTCCATGTCAGCAACGTTGTGCAAGTCTGAATCACTTCTTGGATGTCTTTGTATGGTGGCTAAGTTCAGTTCTAAATGTCTGAGGTGAGCATGTTAGAACTTTTGCCTAGCATTTGTCTACATGAATATGTTTTACTCATCACATTTTTGACTATTAGGCCTAGTCCAGTGTTTTTAGTTGTTTGGAATTATCAATACTTGGTTTTATAAGGATGCAAGTCCAACACTTCAATTTTAAGGTTTACTAATAAAAAAGTGATAATTTTTGTTTTGGTTTTTTTGTTTTTGTTTTTTTTTAAAGAAGTAGTATAGGTCCTTTCTGTCCATAATTTGTGAATTTTAAATTGAAATATTCTTTTCAGGGAATGGCTGTTGTTTCACTGTTGCGACATTTTGGATTTTTTGCTGGTAAACCTCGGATCATTTTACCCGATTAACTTCCTTATAATAAATAAATTCAAGATTTTCAATGTTCGGCCCTTTGATATGCTTGTTTTCATTGCATCTTTTAGCTGGGAACTTGTAGATTCCCTCGAAGAATCAAAAGAAAGATTTGACTCAGCTGGTGTTAAGCTAATTGCTGTTGGTGTTTGTACTCCTATAAAGCTCGTCTTCTTGCTGAAAGGGTAATTTCATAAATTTATGCTGAAGAAATTTAACTGTAGTTTTATTTTGTAGTGTAACTTTTGTTTTGTCAAAAAGTAGGCTTTTTTTCCGAGTTAGCATTTTACATGTGGTAAGACTCCTTTCAAACTTGCACATTAGTGGATAAAATTTGGTCAATTTGGTTGCAGTGAATTGGTCTAACTCATTATAAACTTTTTCCCTAACATACCCTTTTTATAGGTGCCCAATTTTTATCAATGGCATTATCTGCCACATTATATTCACTTTGTTTCCTGGAGACCTGCATTCTTTGACTTCTACTGGATTCATCTTTTAACCTCCTTGTTAGGGTGAAACTATTATTCTATTGGAAAATGTGGTGGGGTATATAACTAATTTGGGGTCTCCCTTCCATATCCCATCCTAGTGCACACACCGGGAAATGAAAGGAGATCCCAAGTCATGAATCATTTTTCTTTATGTGTTATCAGTTAACCAACTTAATATTCATTTTCTGTTGGGTCAGTGCTAGTTCTAATTTCTAGTACTGATTTTTTTGTACTGCCAGTTACTTATTCCACTGGATTGCCTTTATGCTGACCTTGAACGCAAGGTAACAACCTCTATCTCCCAATTGAGATACTTTGTTTGCCATAAGCCTAAACTAATTTCTGACACCTTTGTGGTATTGCAGGCTTACGATATTTTGGGCTTGTATTATGGTCTTGGCCAGACTTTTTTCAATCCAGCAAGTGTATTCATCTCAACCTGTTTCCTTGTTCACAAGCTATCTTATCTGAAGCGTGAATTACTTGCCTTCTTTTTACCGAGCTTTACTTTTTCTTTTCTTTGACTTGACAAGCAAAAGTGTTCTCAAGGATGGAGGCTGTAAAAAAGGCAATGAAGAACTACACTATTGAAGCCACACAAGATGATAGAAGTGGTGTCTTGCAGCAGGTTTTGATTTATCCTCATATGCTGTCTTATCCTATTTTAACCAACTTGTGTGTTGTGCTAGCCCGATAATATGATTACATGTGTTTTTATTAGGCAGGGACGTTTGTCTTTAAAGGGAATCAACTTCTGTATGCAAGGAAGGATGAAGGGACTGGGGACCCTGCTCCCTTGGATGATATCTTTGATATCTGCTGCAAACTGCTACTGTTCGAGGAAGGATGAGGGGACCGGTTGTCTTACTTCCTTGGAGGATGCTCAAATTCTTCCACTGCAACTTGACTACTGTTTAGAACTGTTCGTGTGGATTGGCAATTTTAAAAATTATCAATATCAATACCTACAAGAAAAGTCGCGAGTTTCTGATTTGTAGTGCTTATTTTATTTAGCGACATATCTCTGACTTTTAGTCAAGTGTCTGGCTGTCTTGTACAAATAATTTTCTAATTTAGTGTACTAATTTATGGGGTGGAAATTGAGTTGTTTGTTATGACTGAATGTGGCCCCAGACATAAACTCTCAGATGTAAATACTCACCTTATCATTTCACAATTACCTGGTGATATGATTTTACAATTGATCACCATCTTGTGATTGCTATTGATATGTACAAAATCAGCAAAAGAAATATAGTATTTATTTGTGCATAAAACACTGAAGAAAATTATATAAACACTATTGTAATGCTAGTCTGCTGTAATTCATTTCTCAATAGTGTTACTGAATAAATTAGTGTATTGTTGAACTTCTATTTATTTGTGACATGAGAGAAATATAACCTTGGTAACAAATAAATTATTACAGGCATTCAAATTAATTTTCATTTGTAATTTGAATGAGCCCGAGTGTAAATTGAGCTTGGACTTGCCGATGGCCACCTAAGCTGCGCATGAAAGGCCCAAACCCAATACCAAGGAATAGGGAAGTGTCATAGGGTCTTTCCGTCTAAGTGCAGGTAATATGCATCTTCACATATATGTCTATTTCATTTTTTTGGGTAAATGTAAACAAAGGCACTAAGTGGAGGCGAAAACAATGTTTTGTATTCTTTAGTAGACCTTTACTTTCTCACACTTCATGTCTCTATGTATAAGGAGATGTGCATTACTATACTTTCTGTGTTCTTGATAAGCCAAAACCTGATTTTATCGCCTATCTTGAAATTTGTTATAGTTAATCTAATGAATATGTTGTGGTTATCGTCCCTTTATCCTATAAATTCGTAAAAATGAAAAGATCTTTTAAACCATTGGTTGTTTAAGACTCGTACAATGTGTCTAATCAAACTCAGGATCATTGTAAATCTTTGATGATCTAAATCTTCAATATCCCTTTATTTCCATCCTCGTATTAGCACAAGCTTTTCCTTAATATTTTCTACTGCTGCCTTTTTTTTTTTGGGTACTTATATTTAGGCATGGACTTGTTACAAAATGATTGCCTGTTTTCATTGGATTCGGAGTTGTACTGTACTAAGTGTTGCAAGTTCATCTTTATTTGAAATGCAATCACTTTTTTTGTTCAGGTGGTAGCTTCAAGTCTTTGAAACTCCAATCATGATGATTAATTTTGCCAATAACAGTGAAATGCACAGATATCATCCTTGTTGAGGAACCATAAGCTTTGTTCTTTATTCTTTGTAAGGTTAGACTCTAAAAAAATAATTATAGAAAATTAGATGGTAAAAATGAAAAATGAACACTCACAAAGTACATTAGAGCATCTCTAATCGTTGTGTAAAATAGATCTAAATCACAATTTAGAACTTCAATTTGACCAGAAACCTCACCAATGAAGAGATGCAAAAGAAATGCAAATTGAATCATCAGTAGAAAATGAAACAAATTATATAAATTTACATTTTTTCTACAAGATGCAAAAAGTGAATTTGAATATTTCTATTGGAGCAAAATTTGAATTTAGGTCTGTCGAGATGTAAATGATGATGTAAAAGTAGTTTTGGAGAGAAAGCATATTTAGCGGAAAAAAAAATATGTACCTATTGTTAAATGCTAGGATTAGAAGATTGGAGTAGTACAAAAGCTTGAGGAATGGCTATAGCTATGAATTCTTTAGTTGGACCGGTTCATTTGCGAAGCAGTGCAACCCGTCCGACCCGAATAGGTTTTATACCAAATTACAAACCTCCAATGCACACACGTGCACGTGCCTAAATTCTAAGATAAAAATAACTTACTAACAGAAAGAAATCAGCGAATAAGAAAAATATTGATAAATAAACACGATAAAAAATCTATGAAACACAGAATCATAAAATAATGATCTATAAAGCAGTTTCTATTTATCTTTTATTGAAAGTGAAACAACTTATGATAGTAATAGAATAAATTCATGACATTGTGAAAATATATACCGAGGGTGAGGGTTAGAATATTATCAAGTAAGATGCTGAAACATCTTTTAAATAAAATCCGAACTATAACAAATGAAATCTTACGAGAAAGGACAACAAGATAAAAGTAGACCCCGGCTGTACTTTTTGGACATTTGGATTGTCCGGAAAAACAACCTTTGGGCATTGTCAATAGAGGTGGTTCTTATCAGTTGACTCAGATGCCTCCTTTTTCTTTTTCCCCAGTGTTATTTTTCTTGGACTCGCACATAAATATCTGTTTTACGATAAGGGTGCGTTTGGTTGCATTTATTGTTCACGAAAAATGTTAGTTTTCCACCCAAATTCCTACTTTGAAACGTTTGATTGCTATTTTTTTCTGTGGAAAATATTTTCCAACTTTAAAAAATATACCTAATTTCCTTATTTTTAAGGAAAATATTTTCTTTGAGGAGAGTAGGTTTTTATTTCCTCAAAACGATGAAAATATTTTCTCTTGTCAATCAAACCCACTCTAATGAGAAATTAAAAGGCAAACTGGAAAGAGAAATTAAGAAAAATGAGTTGGATTGCTGTCATTTCCGATACATTCTGATCAAAACTTGTTAATTCCAAATTGAAAGAAGCCAATATTCCATAAATACGTAAAAATTTTCTGTTCAAGTCTTTATTCCATATATAGTTATTTTCTTGTTCTCGTTAATGGGAAATGAAGTGGCAGCCAGATGCCAGGGTTAGTTTACTAGACACGAAAGGCACTTGTTGTGACATAAGAACTTTGAAGGGATTTGGATTTTCTTGAAAGAAACCCCTCACACACATAGATAGAGAGACTACTATTTTTACCAATGCATTGAATGCTTTGTGTAAACCAGCTAGCTTTTCTCTGTTTGGACTAAGAAGAACCGTAGGATTTTGGGTATTTTGTTGGTTGATTGCATTGGGATTGGGATGCCTTAAACTTTGATAGGTAGGGCTGCTGCTTTCCTCTTAGTTCTTGGATATGGCTTTTCTCTGTGGCTGATGCAAAATCTAGTGGGCTCTGTTCAGGAATCAGGGCTATGAAATACACACACTTTCACTTAATTAATAGGCATTTAGATACAAGTAATTCAATGGAGATCATAAAAGTGTTGATGGGCCAATGACGATGTACCTCTAGATAGAGAGGATCTTAGGTGAATATGACTTGACACTCATGCTTTGGACTGTGACATTTCAAGGGGGGAGGGGGTGGAATTGGCACGAGGAGGTTTTAAATGAAAGGGGACTTTAAATACGTATCTCTCACTAAAAGAGGGAATAAACTCAAAACCTTTTGTTTCTCACACATAAACTAGCATGCTACAACCTTCCCTGGTCGTTCTCGGTGAAGTTGCTATCTAGTATCTGCTTTTCCTGTTGACTCTTATTGCTCATTGCTGTATTTCTCTGTGTTCCATATGGAAACCTATTCCTCCCTTACCCCACCCCTATCATTCATTCATTAAAGTGTATTTCATCACTTCTTTTGTTTTTATTGTGTATTTGTCTTTGATGTTAACTCACAAGTTGTCCATCTCCCAGAAAACACTCATTTTGAATGCATGTTTATCTTTTTTGATACTATTCAGTACTGTTCTAAAAAACATAATGCTTGAAGGCCAAATTATGGACTGACGACCTCAAGCGAGACATGTGCATAAAAAAAAACGTGAAAAAAGCATTTTCTTATTTTTATGTTATTTTAATTTTTAATCAATCAAAAAATCATTTAATAATTAAAAATAATATATATCAAACATCTAAAATAGATTTTTAGAAACTTTATATATTTTTTCAAAAGTTTCCAACAAAAAGATTAGTTTCAAATATAAATCAATTTTTAAGTTTTAACTTAAAATAATTGTTAAACAATAATAATAAAAAGAAGAAGATAATAATGGCGCGTATAATCACGCTTAGGCACGCATTAGCGGCCAACGGCAACCGTTGACCGCTAAATAAGGCGCCAAGTCACTGACTTGTCATTTCCGCCACGCATCAAGCAGATGATGTCTAGACGCGCCTTTTAAAACACTGCTATTCAGTATATAAGAGAATGCCCATAATGCATAATATTAAGAACCTGTCATTGTAGGCAAAGTTTAATGAGATGAAATTTTACACATAATGGATTGGTACTAGATAGCATTATTCATTTCAATTTGGTAGATGCATTATGTTTTTCTTTTTATTTCTTGAATAATGTTTCCGAAATTTTGTTAGTAGAGATGCAAACACATAAAAGGTATGTTTGTCTTATTAATAAATAGCCGCCCATTAGATATAGCCCGCCTTGTATGCATGTCTTCAAATTTTCAGTTTATTGTCATTAAATATTGAGCAAACCGTGACACTACATGTCTCCTTAGAATAAAGTGTAACAAGCTCGTTAAATTTTAGATATAGCTATGAGGAATGTGGACATATATTCGAGAATACCGTTTGAATTAAAAGCACGTTACCTCTAGTCAACTTCCCATTATACAAGACGTGCGAAATTAATGCGTCGAGTATTTCCCATTGTGCTAATCTGTTGGGTGGAGGAACGAGACTTTCATACGTACATGCCAAGTCTAATCTTCTTGTATGGATAGAGGAATGATCATTTAATGTCAACGTAATATAGTGGTTGCGGGGGCCAATAAAAACTTTAAGAGATCAACAAATGGTTGCTGCAATATTAATTAGGATTTTTGGGATGTTCCCACTAACACGTAAAGGGATGATATAAGGATGTTAATCGGGTTTTGCTAAGCTAGCATGACTTAATTTTTGACAGATGTTATGCGTGGGGTGTTAAGTGAGGTGAGTTACTCGCCTGCTTGTCTCGTCCCACTAGTGAAACGAGACACTGCTCCTACCCAAGACGAGTTTCGGGTGCGTGCTGATCAACAAAATACTTTGTGCAAGTGATTCATCTCGCACGAGTTGGCTCGTAAATATTGAGCAAAATGCAAATTTCCCTAAAAAAATTGAAGAACCATTCAACGTTTGCG